TCAGGTCCTAATCACTGACTGCTAAGTAAATGCTTTTCTACAATACGAGAAAATGTAGTTTATAGTTTATCACAACGAGTACAAATAAATAGCTCCATCACAGATTCGGAAAAATGCTTAATAAAGCAACGTATTAGTCACACTTCTGAAAGAAGTATTCAACGAAGCAGCACATGAGCAGGGCTCCTTCGAGCACATGAGAGCAGAATTTCTCTGACTGCTGGAAGATAGGAATAAACGATACGCGATAAGATCATGCTGTCTCACCAACCATAGATGAACACCATTCTTGTAGAAAACAAAGCCCGCCTTGAAAACTTCATTTACAATAACGTTCCTCGCTTCTTCGGCGGCGGTGCACCAGAGATCCCTACACCCAGAAGTTTCTCCTTGATCATTCCTTTTCGTTTCAAAGCGTCCCGTACGATACGTGCGTTCATTGAATACGATTCCGCCGTTTCACGCTGAAGATAAATGAACAGCTTCTACTGCATCAAGAACGTAGGCAACATTTCATAACTGTTCACCAATACAGAGTCAGAACAAACAACTATCCAAATGCGTAACGGATGAGTAGAATGAGGTAACTCACTGCTTCTATTTCCTCCTCCTCTTCTCCCTCCATCGTGGATACTGTAACCGATCCCATCTTGCCCTGATTTTTGACGTTCCTCTTCATGATGATCTAAACAAAGCTATTCACAGATGAAAAAGTACTCTTTATCCGAACGCTTTTTTTAGCAGTGATATGATGTTAAAACCCTATTTCCGATGGCGTCGAGTGATAAGTAAAACTTCGAACAGTGGGCGGGAGCTGAATCCGAGTCTCATCCTTTTAGGGTTCACGTGCTAACCATTGGACTATCAAAGCTCCCGTTCTTCTTTCACTCGTTCTGCGATATAACATATCGATTCTTTCGGTGACCAGCCGTCAGCGGTTGGTCTGGTAAGCACATATCGACAATAAGTCCAGTTGAGCCGACAACTACTGAACATATGTAATCGACAAGAATTTCGTGAGAAGAGAGATAATAGCATGAAAGCTCCGATGAGGCAGTGGTTAACACGCGTCCCTAGAAAGGGTGAGATGACAGTTCGACTCCCACTCAGGTTTAAGGTCTCGTAAAACACTCAGTATTATTGGATTTACATTCTTAGATCTGTAACTAGTGCTAGGAATTATCAAAGACGCACTTTTTTTGCCCGCTGCTCCTCGTTATTTCCACTGAAGCCTCCGACTTCTTGAGCAGACAGTAAAGCTTCTCGAAAGATGAAAACGAGCTTCAGATTGAATGGATGTTGGTAAAAGAGTGGCACGCCACATCCTTTACAATTTTTACGATATTGCTGCTCCAGGCCTTCACGTCTAAATATGTTTCATTAATGCAATCACATATAGCACACTCCTTAGGCAACTTTCAGTCTAAAAATGGACTAATTACCACCGAGAAAACCTGATATAGGGCTGCGTCGGTGTGCAACAACACAATCTTCGTCTCCAGATCCCCCTAAGGTCACAACAAATTGTTGGCAGTCCTTCTATTTTATAATTACTCTATTTTACAACCTTTTCACGAGCGCGCGTGGGCAATGATTAGAAGTGCCCCGCGACGTACACGTGGTGGATCAATCAAGAGTCGGTGATCCAACCCCGCGCTCAGGCTCACCAAGCCTTGTAACCCTTCAGAGTCGCTAACTTGTCTAGGATTCGTACATCAGTACGCCATTATAAGTCATTGTCAAAGGCATTCAATCCTCTCAAAGGAAGTCAAAAATCAAAGACAAATGCATGGCGCATCCATCACAATTAGTCAATGCCGAAAGCTGATCGTTCATACTATTAAGCCTTCCACATATAAGACCTCTTGATAATTTGTGAAGTTTTTATAAACGGGTCAACTGAAGCAGAAAGACTCTCCAAAACTTTGTAAGATTCTTTTCTGTTACACGGAAACAAATGAAGAAATGGCCCCTTTCTTTGGACAAGGACTTTTCATAAGTGTCAGTATTCATTCGAGAACTTAAATCTCTCACTAATGCGCTACATATCCCTTTATTGAGATAGCCTTTTATAACACTATTGCAAAAAGAAAACACTAGTGTTTCACACACGCAAAATTCTCGCACGAAAGAACTCTTTCTTTGAATAATAAAGAGCCAATCGATAGTGTAAGTTTCAAAAATTCAAACGCTATGACTGTTTCCTGAAAAGACCATTCCACTGCAGTGTAACACGGAAAATAAGGTCGAATTTTACGTATGCGATGCACCTGTTTGTCGGCTAGTGTGCGGGCTACTTATCTGGTGGCCGTGGATTCGATAAAGTCTTTGAGATCGCGACTCACATGTGAAGTGCAATTTTTACTCAATTCGGGATTTGTTCTCCGCTTTGGAAGAAGCTGCGGATAATACGTATGACTTGGATATCACAAGATTTCCTCTCCACATTCATAAGCTTTTCGTCCTCCAAGGGAAGTAATAGTGAAGGCGAACCGTCGGTGTAAGACGTGATTTTATTTTAAATGCTTTGTCATTACAAAAAAGACTTTTACAGAAAACATCCACGCAGCGCAGTAGCTAGAGATTTCAGATTTCACATGATTACCAACAATCCAATGAGTTTTTCTCCAGCAAATAAGGTCGGTTCTTCATTTATATCCGTTTAACAAAAAAGAACTCTTTATAATATTTAATCTAGATGGATTCTATATTTTGCCGCTTTCTTAGCAATAATATGATGTTGTAAATTTATATCCAAGAATGCCGAGTGATATGGAAAACCCTCGCCCGCGGAGGGAGTTGACCCCATGCAGGAGTGTGGGTAGGGAGAGAAAGAGGGGTACAAAACTCGTCCACAGCTATTTGCTGGCACGTCGATGCCCTATATCGAGAATCAAGTAGTAACAGAGTGGTGGATTCGGTGGTGTAGTGATGACAAGAGCTCCTGGGAATGGCTGAAACATGGGTTCAACTTCCGCCTAGGGTCGAAAATTCTAACATATTAGTTGAATAACAAGACATGAGAATCTCTGAAAAGTCCTTAACAAAAAACGAATGCCAGCAAAGGAGCTAAAGAATAAGATCCGCTAACCTTTGCACATATACAGTATCTCCTGGAGTGGAGAATGTTTTTGCAGTTGTTCTCTCGGGATCGATCACTCGTGCACCGTCTCGTTTACGAAGTGGCATACGAATGAGTAGAGAATCACTGATCATTGCCATCTAAATTTCGCTGAGATCTCGAAACACCGCCTAACGAATACTCGGGGATAAACTGAATTCTTCCGATTCTCAAGCTAAACTCACCTGACCACAATTGCAGTAGTAAGTATACAGCGGTTTGACAAAGTATTCTTCACGATCATCAATGTCTACCAACCTCGATTCGCCCTGAAAGACTGCTTCACAGTTCTTTTTCGTCAGACGGCACGGAATGAAGAAATGACCCCTTCCGCTGGACAAGAACTTTTCATGAGAATGTTAGTATTCAACAGGAAGCTTAAATTTCAGGCTACTCCACTACGCGCTTGTTTTTTGAAAAACCTTTACATAGCGCTGCAACACTAAAATACAATCGTGTTTCACACGCCACCTCCCTCCTCCACCCACCTTAAACGCTTTCGGGATCGTGGTCCCACCTCCTCTGGATCTCTAACCCCACTACGGGAACGCACTGAATGTATATTACATCATCCCAATTGTATTGTTGCGTTATTTTCCTAGTTATAACAACATAATATGTTCACATATAACATAACACAGGAAAATAACAACAATAAACACTTGGAACAGCACAATAATGTACTGCATGCGCTTCCACCCTGGGAGTTAGAGACGCAGACAAGGTGGAGTACACCGTCCAGCGTTGCCACGTTCGGAGTTGGTGGTACAGTGGAGGCATATCCACGCTTCCGAAAATGTCGATCACTATCACGCCTAATTTCGCTGGATAAAACTCTTTCCTCAGGTTCCTAACGATCGTTCAATAGCTTATATCTCGAAGAATCCAAAAACATATTAGTTTACTCTCAAAGCTATTGCCCAGCAAAAGAGGGTCGCTCCTTCATTCCGCATCGCCTCACGGAAATGAGCTTACTTTATCTGTTTTCGAAATGAAATACTTATAAATATTTCAACGTGTGCCTTTGGGGTCATAAAATCGTTCAAATCAGAAAAGTTTAACGGAAAAAGGGCTATAATTATTACTGTACTTCCAACAGGGGCAATTTCAGACTATCCAAAAAGGCTCTGTACTTCTTGTTTGTGATGATAATCGTCCACGCACTTTGAGCCATAAAAAGGTCTGCGAAACTCTCAGAAACTAACCCTTGTGGCCTAAGACGGACTTGAGCTTTTCCCGATAGATGACTTGTCATGATTTCTTTTCTATCTAATTGCTTCTTATATATGTTACATTTTTACAGATATACCCAGTAATGTTGAGGATGTGCAAAACTCGACGTCAGGTGGGAGTAGAACTCGCATTTCACCCTTCACAGGTTGTGTGTTAATCAATTAAGTGGTGTCAAAAAAACTGCCGGTAGTGCAACTGTTAGCACGCCACCCCCCCCCCCCCCCCCACTCCTCACCGAAAGGGTGAAATGTGGGTTCGATTCCCGTCTGACGTCAAAGTTTTGCACGTCACTCAACATCTGGTGACTTTCAAACAATAGTAATAGAGACTAATGAATGATATCTACAAAATCACATACGTTCTTGTCGTCCTCAACGTGTGAAATCTCCTGGGCACCATCATTCCCAAGCACATTGAGCGCCATTTGTTCTGAAACTAAGACCATTTCTATGGAGTAAGGGGTTGTGCTAAAATGCGGAAAGTGAAAGAAATTAGTGAAGTCAACAAATCAGTAACAAATCAATAAAACCATCAAACAGAACATCACACATTTAAGGTAAAACTAGAATTCTTTCTTACTAACCGCCTTCAAGCGGTGGTATGACGTTAAAAATATATAGTGTTACTGAGTGGTATACAAAACTTTAGACGTTGGACGGGATGCGAACCCGTATTTCGCCCTTTGTGGGGCCGAGTGCTAGCCATTGCGCTACCACTGCTCGTCCGCTATCACTCATTGCGGTGCAGCTGTATCGATCTCAGCCAACAGCGAACAGTTCAACGTGACAAGGCGGTATCAGCACTGAAGCTAGAAAAGGAGGAGGTTCGAATCCGTCCGACATTCAAAGTTGTTCATATCACTAAATGATATTGGATATGCACTCAAGTCAGAAATTGAGATCAATTAACCCTTTCAGGTCCGCGGACCCACTTCCCCTGCGTCCCTGACGCCCAGCGCGGCAACGCTAGATAGTCTGCTCCACCTCCTCTGCATCTCCAACCTTCAGGATGGGAGCGCATTGAATGTATTATTGTACTATTTCAGTTGCATTGCTGTTGTTACTTTCGTACTTATAACAGCATATTTACGATTCTTTTCGGATATAAGGGAACAAATGAATATCCAACCTGATTCTCTGTACAAAAATTTTTCCATAGGAGTGTTATTATTACTGTTATTATTATGTTATTATTATTATTGTGTTATCATTCGACAGCTTAAATCTCTGTCTGAAGCCGGACGAGGCCATTTTGCGAAAAAAAACCCTTTTATAATGCTGTAATTTCCAAAATAAAATTATGCTCCACATTAACCCCGTAATTCGACTATCACTTCGCTGGAAACACGAAAAGCACATGGACGGGACATATAGAGAAACTCTTGTAATATTAGAGTCAAACGTTTGATCTGGAATCTGGAGAAACAATTCCTAACTGAATGACGAGAATCGTACTATCCCGCTGTCCGCGGAAGAGCCAATCGATCGACCGGCATGTTGAAACGGCCACGTCCGCTCTGCGCCCCGCCCACTCCCTCCCACTCCCCATCCGTGGAAAGCCGAAATCCCCTTGACCGCGTCTGTGAATTGGATCTTATTTTCCCTGCTGCACTCCAGAGAAACGGTCTTTCCGGAAAATAAGCACAGCGTTGGAATCCCTGAATTCTACGATATTGAATGATTACTGATAGTCTGAAAAAGAGCTCAGTCCGGCGAGAAATATCCGCGTGTGAAATATGATTTTACATGAATGTTACAGCGTTATAAAAGGGTCTTCTGGAAACCAGCCTCGTACGGCTCTAGCGAAAGATTCAAGCTTTCGAATGAATACTAGCATTCCTACGAACAATTCTTGTAAGGCGAATGAGATCGAATATTCATCTGTTCCCTAATAACCGAAAAGTACCTATTTACATAGATATAACAGGGAAATAAGAAACATTAGATACGTTCCACGCGGGGAGTTAGATATGCAGAGGAGGTGGGTCCACGGTCCTGAGAGCGCTGAGAAAACTGAATTTGAAGGAACACAAAAATCAAACAGATACTGAATATTAGGTCTGGAGGTGACCCCTTCGGGAACGTGGACCCACCTCACCTGCGTCTCCAACCCAGCGTGCACGTATTATTGTATTCTTACCGTTGAATTGGAAAATAACAACGGTAATACTACGGAGATGATGCGATGAACATTCAGTCCGTTCGCCCTGGTGGGTCAGAGACGGAGGGGACGTGGGTCCAAAGTTTCGAAAGTTTTGAGAAAACTGAATTCGAAGGCAGACGAAAATTCTAAGAGAATTTCAACGAATTCTCGGAAATCAGATTAGAAGGAGGAAAATCAAATCCAACATATGAAAGGGATATTTTCGAAAAGAGAGGAATGAACCCTGTCATGAGACGGGACCACGACGCCTCGCGTTATTATAATTACAGGAATACAAAAAAATGACCGTTATTGGCTCAAAAACACAAATATGAGGTCAAATTCGAGCCGAGTATAGTTTGAAAACATTTTCCCGCCAGAAAAAAATCGATTTCAGTAGATATTAGGAATAAAACACAAAGTACCCAGGAGATTCCCAGTGATGTAGAGTGATGAGCAAACGTTTTCGCGTCGACGGGACTCGAACCCGCATCTCAATCTATCCAGGAGCGCTCGCCCTAACCCGTTGCGCTACTGGCGCCTATTCTGCCCGTCACTCTTCTTACGTGACAACGTCAAATAGAAAGAATTCGACTTGGTTAACTAAGAGATGCTGTTCACCCCATCAATGCTAAGCGGGAATAGACCTCAAGCACAACAGCTATACAATGAAGGCCACGCTACACAACTTAATGACTTATAGTGCAGTGAATTATACAAAAATAATAAAAAAATAAGAAATAAGACAACAACCTCACAAATATGCCAGTTGGTCACGAGTTGTGACAAGCGTGCTCCACTTGAGAGTGAGTGCTCCGCTGAAATGGCGGGTTTTCAGTGGTCATTCAAAAGCTGATTCTCCCTTCATCCAAATCCTTCCTATCCTCCCTATCCTTTTCTTCTTTTCTACATTTTTTCAATTTTTTGTTCTTCTTTCTCGTGCAGTTGCGGAAGCATGAAGCTTGATGTTGGAACTTATGTGTTAGATGGCGGGAAACTCAAAAACGATATTAATCGCTGGACAGGAACTTTTCTCGTACTGTCAAGAGCCATTGGAAGGCTTAAATCGTTAGCTTCAGCCGCACGTCGCCGATTTTTTCAAAAAACCCTCTTATAGCGCTGTAACGTCCAGAAAGAAATTTTGACTCGAACTTGCCTTTTGCCTTCATTATTATCACGCGTGTAATTCGCTGGAATTCGCCGAAAAGCATATCTGCATGTAGAGAATTTTCCGTAGTATCAGAATCGAGCGTTTTTCGTCTCAAGTCTCTGTCGATGCGGTGAAAAAATCCCCAATTGAATAACAACATTTCAAACGTGATTGGTCGCCCGCCCCCGCCCCGTGAATTAGCCGGTAAGAAGTGTCGTCGAGAATGGGAAACTTGATCGATTTTCCCTGCTAAACGATAAATAAAGGATAAAGGCTTATGAGATACTTAGCGACAAAGAGAGGAGAGCTCTCTATGATGAATCTGGTGATCTTTTTTTTTCGAAGTTATCCAATACTTCTTATACTTATCGGCTAGAGAAGTGAGAAGCTGCAAACGATATGTGATACATGTAATCGGCCAGGATTTTTCGGCCATATATCCAATAATGTTGAATGATATGCAGAACTCCGGACACTTGGGTGGGAGTTGAACTCGCGTCTTATCCTTTCCGGGGTACTTGCTAACCAATGAATTCTTAGAACTCCTGCTTTGCTTTCACTGTTTCTGTAATGCTGGGTATCGATTCAGTCAGTAACCAACCGTCAAGCGAGGGCGCTGGTAGTGCAGTGGTTAGCATGAACCCCTGGGATGATTGAGACGCGGTTACAACCTGTGCCTGCGTTGGAAGATTTGCGTATCAGTCAACATCATTGGTTCCATAATTATGACCGTGGGATAATGTATGCTCATGGTAAACAGGTTTGTGCTGATGTGCTTACCAGATAGAACCTGTCGCCGGTTGCTTCCTAACAACTATAATACTTCACATCGAAGAAAGAGTTACCCTCAGGTCGGTGGCTTCGATGGTGTAGCGGTTTGCACGCGCCCCAAATATGAGTAAAACAAGGGTTTAACACCTTATAACTCAGTATTAATGAGTGCATCACAATTTGTTTGCTCATCGTCGAGGCAATGTAGCGATGGTCGCATTTAGAGAACAGTACACTTTGTGCTCATTTGATGAACAGCTAATCACAGGCTGTTGCTTTATTAATTCTGTTGTTTCACTACATTTAGGCATCATCGACAAAGAAAACTTGAGCAGCGACAGCATAAATTTATTTCAACGGGTGTTTAAGAAGGTGACAGTGGAGGACATCGAAAAGTTTCATAACCAATACAAAGGTTCGTTCTTCGTTTACTATTTCTGTGGTCATTTCAGCTCTCATTTCCTTCTATAGGATCTGAGGAGGAGGAGAGCGACATTGTCACAGCCTATAATTCGTGGAAAGGCGATATGTCGAAAATCATAGATTCTGTTTACTGTGCGACCATCGACGACGAGGACAGAATCAGGGTGTGCTTTGGTAATGAGTTTTGAGTTTGAGCTTCCCTTCTCTTCATGATTTGAGACCCATGAAGGTGTTATGCAGATTTCAACAGTACTTATAAAGCTTATGAATGGAGTAAGAATTTTAGGGAATCATCGATCGGAATATCTCCAGCGGACTCTTAAAGAAGACAGCTAGATATCAAGCTTCCACGTCCGCGGTGAGGAACTGATGTGTGAAATTGTTTCTTTTCCAAATAATCAGTTTTCAGGCAGCCTCCGCTAAACGTAAAAGGAAGGCTATGAAAGAAGCTGAAGAAGCAGAAGCTCTATTGGAGGAAATCAGAGCGAAGGTGGTTATTGGCAGAAAATTGGATTTTTGCCTAGCGAAGTTGCTGCTCCAATATCTACCTGAAATGTCAGTAGATACCATCATTGCCTTCGCCATACTCGCGAGTTGTTCATAGACTTTTGCAACCCTTTCAGAACTACTGTTCGGATATGGAGCATAGAAGCTTTTTACCGAGAATATTCTTTTGTAGAACTACTAACTATGTCTCATTTTAAAAGAAGACATCATATAACAGTCTTCATTTAGGAAGGTGCTGGTTCTCTTGAGCAAATTATTCAACAGCGACAATTAGCTCGTTCCTCAGATGCGGACGCATTCGTGGATTCTTTAGCCGCAAAATACGGCGCGAAGAAAAAACGCGCTAAAAAGTGAACTTCTAATCGATCTACTACCAAGTTCCTGTAATGCACATTTTGTGAAGAAGAAAAATTTTAATCCTCAATTCTTTCTCAAATATGGCTAATGTTATGGAATGAGTGAAGTCTCTTTATGTTGTTGATTACTGATTACATATTTATTGTGGAGAATTGTGAAGGTGAATTGCTGTTTACATACAAAATAAAACATGAGTTAAATAAAACTGTGAGTGGTTGTAAATAAGACAGGAAGAAAACATATATTAAGAGTAGAAAATAGGTTTTTTTCTCGCGTAGATTGGTTTTCGTGCTATTAGATCTTTAGGACATATGGACGTCCTTCTTATTAGAAATGTCTTTGTAAAAGTCTCTTGATTGATATTCCATCTTTTA